ATCTCTTCCCGGCATCCGTCTGCCAGGAACACTTTACGGAAATAGCCGCACAACCGGAGAACAATTTAGCTTTGTACTTCTGCAGCAACACTGCTGAGCATCCACCTCCGAATTTTTTTGTCAGTTGATCAGCCGCTGACTCTACGAGAAGGCGGGGAAGAGGGAGGAAAACTGAGGGCCAGAAAAGAAAGTGGAATCTCGGAACGCTGCTGTTACTGCCAGATGTTCACGCGAAGCTGGAGAGCTTCAGCTTCAAGGCAGTTTGCAAACGCTTCCCATCTCCTCCGCAGTTTCATGCAAAAATTTCTGTCATATAAGAGTTGGTTATTGGATGATTTGGTTATTCCAGGGTCAAGCTCTATCCCTTTTCAGGTATTCTTGCGTAAGGCTTAGGAAATGGATTACTGGTCTTAATCTGCCTATATTCGAGTTTGTCCAGACAATTCGGCGCCGTATCTATGAGGGCCAAGTGAGGTCTGGAAAGAAGGGAGGTAGAATTCGGCGTTGTAAGGGTTAGGTGAGGACTAGGAAGAAGGGAGGTAGAGTGAACACAAGCATCTGACCATGCGCGAATCCATAACCTAAATCACTTTTAAATCCGGGACAGCTATTTGATGCAGCAACAATAAATTGCAGTAGCGGCCCTGTGCCATGGATATTAGAGTAAGAAACGAAATTTTTACTTCACTGGCTTACACCGTTCCAGAGTTCGTAAATTATTCCCCCGATTCTGCTTATAATAGTGCAATGCTTCCCGGACTGTGACTTTCCTAGGTTATGAATTGTGAAATTAGTCTTGAATTTATACCTGGAACAATTTTCTTTAGTGTGGCAATTACTTTTTATAAAAATATTTCCATCCTTGCATATAAATGTTATACGACCTTTGCATTTCTGTTTGGTCTGCATATCGAACTGTCAAAAAACTGTCCTTCAAAATAGGCATTTATTCGAACTGAGGCTATAATCCAAAAAGAGCTGTTCTATTTCGAAGAAAACTGAAACAAAAGTATAGTTCGAAAAGTGTGAGTTCCGACGATCGTGTAAATCGGAAATTTGATTTTGGCCTAAGAGAGCCACAATTTGGGGACCTCTTAAGCAAATCCGTTGCCTAAGAGGTCCCCAAACTGTGGCTTTCTTAGGCCATAAATTGTGAAATTAATCTTGAGTTTATACTTGCGAGCAGGGGAAGCTGAATGTTAGATACCGATTTGCAGCTTTTCGTCTAACTGAGAACCACTGATCTGAGTACTAAGCTGACAAATGTAAATTCGTGAATATTCTCAAAGCATTTAAGCGGGATCGCATAAAAAGAAAGGATTATTCGACAAAGTGTCCATGAATCAAAATATCCAAATGTAATTTCACGCATTTCAGGAGGGCCAAAGTATTTAGAAAAGACGTAAAGTAACATTCCAGTAATATCACTGACATGGGATATCCCACATTGGTTTTTCGAGCCATCCTGGAATCTCTTTTAGATTTCTACTCTAATTAAATTTGTGCCATGATTTAATCGACTGCATTTTTAATTTTTTAATTTATAATTTTTCTTCCATTTACGCTGCATTCTTTAGTGTGTCTTTTTTTTGTTTGTGAACTGTGGATCTAAAACACGTCACTGTTTTGTTTGGTTATTCCCACCTTTTTTTTCTCACCATTAATGCTCAGATTTTCGATGTGCTGTAGTTTGCTCACGATTCCGCAGTGTAGTGATTTTATCGCAAATTAAACCTACAGTTTTAATCTGCTTTCATGAATTTCAAGAATTTAGGTTTGTTAGCTTTATCAAAATAAATCCAGAACTAACCAGCAATGGCGGAAGATGAGGAAGATATGTAAGTTGAAATACTTTTTTTTTCGTATAGCTGGCGATATTTTTGCTTTCTACAGCTGGCGGTACTTTTTTGTACACTGCACGGAGATAAGAACTCCCAAAAAGTATTTTTTGTTATCAGAAAACGAAGAAAAGGATTGCCGATATCTCAGTAGCCATTTTTCAGCAGGCTTAAAGACACATGCAGCGTGGGTCAGCGAAATATGCACTACCTTTGCAAATTTTGTGTTAAGCTTACAAAAATGTTTAGTGTGAAGGAATTGATGCTATCTTTTAAAAATGCTTTCATAAACTCTTCAAATATTCAATTCGGTTTTGCAGTACTGAGGAGGAGGAGGACGAAGAAGTTGGCGATGATGAGGAAGGTGAAGAAGGAGGAGATTCTGCAGGACCTCCGGCTGATGCAGCACCAGAAAAAGAGCCCGCACCTCAGTAACTATTAATTTATCGTTAGATGCTAATTTTCATATCAGATTTAAGCTCAGAAGAAATTTCAGAATTTTATTAAAATTTTCTATTATGCTGTTTTCGTAAATTTTACCGCAAACTTTTTTTTTATTTCAGTTTCATCGGTTAAGCAAATTGTCTGGCATTGCGAGTAATGAGGGAAAAATTGAGTTTACTGACTGTGATTCGATCACGGGAAGCAATTCGAGAAACATATATAACTTTATGTTATTTAATTTGAAATTTGGATTTTGATTCAAATTTCAGACTGAGACGCGCGCCGCCACCGCAGGAAAAAGAAGAAGCACCTGCTGAGCAGACTGAAGCTGAAAAAGCTATGCTTGTAAATAATTTACTTCTTCCTGTATTAATTTCGCACCGGTCTCCCTTCCTCCACGAACTTATCCTCTAAACTCATTCATCGCCAAGAATTGATCCACCGTTAATAGATGATACTGGAATGCGTTCCCATCTCGGGATGCCTTCATCCATAACATGATAAAAAAGTCGAGAGCCAATATCTCTCCACATCCATTGTCAGTGAGAGGCGAAAGTGCACGGAAGTGGTCCGAGTGGTCGTAAATACCAGCAGCAACCACACGCTGGCAAAGCTATTTTTGGTTCCTTCTTTTAAGGATGCCGTTTACAGACAAGCTTTTGGCTCCATGGCATACGCAATATCACTTTAGTACCGAAACAAATGAACAAATTTTAGAGGGAATGGCTGTCCCACCAGTGGGGTTGAATCCTTGTCCTCCTTCTGCGCAACAGCAGTAGTGCTTCGAAATACATTATTTTTAACATGGTACTAGCAAGAAATTCAATAGATTTTTATATCTTTTTGAGCGTGTTTTAGCCGTCTCATGACGGAAACATCAGCTGCCAAAACAAAATCTACTAGAAACTGATAAACGAGTACGTCGGTATTCTCAAGATTCAATGTTGCAGCTCTACTTATTAAGGATCCCGAACAGCCTAGCAACACGATTAAATCTTGTATCCGTGAGAAGCATCAGTCCTGCACTTTGGCACATTTTTCAGGCAGCAAAAAAGAGGCATGAGGAGGAAGAAGCAGCCAAAATGGAGGATTACCAGGAACGCCGGAAAGCTGAAAAAGAACGAATTGAGGAAGAGCTGCGAGCGCTCAAAGAGAAACAGGAGCAGAGACGACTGCAGCGCGAGGAGGAGGAACGAGAATTTGCAGAAAGACGGCGCCAGGACGAAGAAAAAAGACGGCAAGAAGAGGTATTTTGCAAAATCTAACAGCACCTCCGAGTTTCGCTTTCTATTGGAGATGAAAACGATTGGGATAGTACAGGGATATAGCTGGACTGGTGGCCGTTGGCTAGCCCTTTACAGAGTTGCTAGTCAGGAGTCAAGGAGTCAAAAATGAGCGGTGCAAGCTAAATACATTTCACGGCTTCATAAATTTTGAAGCAGTAAGTTAGCTCGGAGATAATGGATCTAAAAGGTTAAAAGAGAATATAGGAGAAAAAGGAAATGATACAAAGAAGAAATACAAAGATATTAAAATAGTCGATGGGCAAAAGGAGAACCGGCGTTGCATCCCTTAGCTGCAAACGTGGACCAGAGCGGAACGGACATAAAATGAAAATTAGGACCAAAGACTTGAGCTACCAGCTTGAATATTATTACAAAGATTGGTTATTCGTACAAATAAATAGCTTAGGCCTTATTTGCTACCACACGTAGGATAATTTCTGGAAAAAGCATGAAACATGTGCACTGAACTTAAGAGAACTTGGCTGCTGGAATTAAATTATTACGTTTAAAATTGTATAATGTAATGATGAATTTAGGAAGAAAGTAAGGCTAGAATTGAAGCGGAGAAGCAGCGCCGTGATGAGGAACGAAAGAAACGGCAGCATCTGATGGCTGGTTCATTTGCTGCCGGTGCAGTAGGTGGCGGAAAGAATTACGTAATCCAGAAATCAGAAAAAGGCGATCAGATGAAGAATCTTGCTGTATGTGCCCTTTAATTTTTTTCAGCAATTATCATATCAAAGGTACCAATATCTCCCGGGCTATCAGTGTGAATGTTTCATATGATGTTGCTGGGATGCTCCCACACGCCGGCCTTGTTATATTCGGATGTTCGATCCTGGGCTGAATATCTTCAGTTAGTACCTAGCGATTGCAAGTGCGCGAACGCTTAGGGAACTAGACAATGGTCATTTTCTTTTCCACAATGCCACAAATTAAAGTGCAATGTCAATCGGTTATCAGCAAGGCTAGCAACACGTTCTGCCCATCGGATTTTACTTTCTTACTTGTTCGTAATAACATTCAACATGCTGCTGAACAATGACTGTCGTATTCATTAAAAATATTACCTGAAAATTTTTAAAGTTTAACTTTTTATACGGTCGCTGCTGCTATAAATAATTGCTCTGCAAATAATTGTGGTTATACAATAGTATCCGTTGCGAACAGAATTAGGAACTTTGTTAGAAAAAATAATGGATCTGTCTTTCCAATAATACGTTAACGAGCACGAATGGACAACGAATGGTCTAGTCTGAATTCTGTGATAAAAGTAAACCTCTAAAACCGGCCAACTCTAATTAATTAAGACACATACAATAATTCATAAAGCAGCGGGATACTGATCGAGGAGCACTATTTGATGCATAAGATATACCTGGAATAAGTGTAGATTCAAAGTCTGGCTGACTTTTGTAACTGCTTTGATCAATGCTATGTCACATGATGATTAGCCTGGTGGCGATCCTGACGTTTTTCTTTTGAAAGCTCAACGATTTCCAGACAAAAACATTAAATTACAATGAAGTACCTTATTGATTTATAACGTTTCCTGAAAAGCTTATGATTCATTAATAATTGTTTTGGAAATCATAAATAAAAAGGAAATGTGCATATTATCAGACAAAGCAAGAATCAAGCGAGGAGGAAAAGAAGGCTGCCAAGAAAGCGTTTCTGGAAGCTGTACAACGTCGTGCGGCCAATGTTGCTGATCTGCTGCCAAATGATTTAAAGGATCGCATTAAGCAGTTGCATGCTCGTATTGTGAAGCTGGAAGGCGAAAAATATGATCTGGAGAAGCGACACGAACGTCAGGAATATGATGTAAGTTATTTCTGCTATTTTTTAACGGAATGCAAGTTCTACATGCGTCAACCTGATTCATGTATGGTCTTACTGTAATCTAGCCCAGCTTAATTGTTTCTTGAAGCGATGAATTACTATGCGCGCAGATGTTTTTACATGCTTCGTCTTCAATCTCCCACTAAGCAACCTTTGAACGAGGAAGCCACCTGCAGTCTTGTCAACGAGTGGTTGCTGTTAGCGACTGCGATTTCTAGAATATTCGTGAGTGCTTCTACTCCACAAAGAATAAACACGAAGGGGGTTCTTGGCGTTTCTTATTAGACGCGTCCAAGAAAATGCATGGAGCTTTTTTCAAAAAATTAATTTCTGCATTGCGACTAAAATATTTGGCTTTTTTCGTCTGGATATTTGATTTTATATCATAATATATATCATAACATACTTGCAACAGTCACAAGACAAGCATCGTTAACTATGCCATTTTCGACTAGCACCACCTGGTTATCATCCCGCTGACGATCCTGTCATTCTTTTCGTCTCCTGGAGGGATTATCTGATGGTTCTGTATGGATCAAAACAATTTTTGCCGAAAAATAAGGACTTCTGGCACAAATTCCATTTGGCTATCCCATATTTGCGATGTTACTGGAACTCTTCCAAATGCCGGGTAGCTGCGCAACGTATATGAACATAAGAAGTCATTTTCAGCTGAAAGAGCTGCACGAACGTGAGCGTCAAGTTGCCCGAAACAAGGCATTGCAGCGTGGTCTAGATCCAGAAGAAGCAGCCGCTTCCATACATCCAGTAAGTCTCCAATTTTTCTCCAGAAATCTTCACCTCTTCCATGCTTTTTTCAAATCCTGTAAATTCCATTTTTTCACCGAAAGTTCAATGCTGTTTCACCCATTTAGCTCTAAATCTTTGATATTCGGCGTTTCCAAAAATTCAAGGACGTGCACAGTTTTTGTGCCAGTGAACAAGAATTTCTAGAATTCTAGCAGCTGTACTTAATTAAAAATGATGCGATTTCAGCCAAAAATAAATGTTGCTTCAAAATTCGATCGGCAAATCGATCGACGCTCGTATGGCGATCGCCGTGAACTTTACGAACATGTAAGCTTAATATTGATTTTTGTACTTCAGAAACGCTTAGTGCCTCAAAAATTATTGGAAAGCGACCGTTGTTTTGTTGAATTTTATATTTTTTGGTTGAATTTTGCATTCTTCCAAAGATGACTGCACCAGATTTTTCCTCGTTTCCATTTCACTTTTGTCTCCTTCGATGAAATTTTTCGCATTTTTTTCCAAAACACATTAGCGCTAGAGTGGCGGTCTTTCGGCTTTGCCTCTTAGCTAAGTAACTTGAAATTTACCGCATCGCCTGCTAAAATTTCAAGAGTTTTTTAGACAGAACAGCTTAATTCCGAAGATTATCATGAATACCCGAGAAAAATAGTGTATGCATTCACATGTTATGTCTATTACACTAGCTGTGCCAAATTCTTCTGAGCAGTGTTGCTGTAATTAGCATCACTCGCTTGTTTGATGGGTTGGCATCACCTCTTTAAGGGACACTGAGTTGCTGTTTGTTTTCTCGCGAGCTGCCATTACATTCCACTGGTTGTCGGCAAGGCGAATAACATATCCTACCTATCGGATTTTATTTCCTCGCATGATCGTAATGATATCTTCCACGTGGCACCACTTGAGCCCTTTAACGTAGGGAAGATAACTCAGGCTTCTTTCAGCCAATAGTAAAAAAGCCACCGAAAATTGCGCACGGAACCGCTCGTCCACCACCGGAGTGGGGTCGACGTGAGAACGAAGAGCTGGAGCAGATCCGCAAAAATCTGGAACCACCAAAATACGTGGAACAGGTGAAAGCCGAAGGTGATGCAGCACGACCACCAATTCAACCTATTCCGCTTGCGGTACCTGGTGTGGATGAAGTAGAAGAGGATGAACAAAAAACAGCAGAAGCAGATCCACCTGTTGACGCCAAAGCACCTGGAAAAGGAGAAGGCGCCGGACTGGCTGCTAAAGCTCCCGTACCACCACCAACGGTTTGCTTTCTTTAGCTGCTACTTACACTCAAAATACCATCTTTATAGCAATGAACTGCGAATTCACCGTTACTGAGATCAAGCGTGAATGCGTTGGGCTACATAAAGTGGATGCTAATTACGTACGTCAGTGACGTGAATAGTCTGCATGGACTGCAAATTCGTTTTCGCCTTCTTGATGAACACACATTTGACCTTTCATTTGATACTACAAGTTCTATTAACGGCTCATTATTCAAAAATAAAAACTAAAGACAAAACCTCCTCCTTCCACAGCTGGTTTTTTGTAAGAGACGGGATAGTCGAATGCTTTTGAGCAGTAGCATATGCCAAAAGCAACCACTCGCTGGCAAGGCTTTCGATCGATTTATTTTCTCTTCGATTGCTTGGAAAAAAGCTGTTGGCGATTTGCAATATTTGAGAGTACTAATTTGACATCGAAAGGAAGCGAACTGCAAAGGAAAGATTTTCACACGAATGCTGTAAAACGCTCACCATTTAACAGGAAAGCAGCTCAACTTGCCACTAGCTTTCACGATTTATTATTATTCTTTTCATTTATAAAGAAAGCCATCTGCAGTTTTACCAACGTGTGGTTGCTGTTGGCATTTGCTATCGCCTGTGCTATTTTTCAAGTGTTTCCGCTTCTAATAGAGAGCGAAAACGGGGAAGAAGATTCGACTTTTGAACTAAAAAATGTCATTTAACTTTGATAAGTTTGAAATTGATATAAATTTAGGCGAAGAAACCAGTAAAATGAAACTGAAATGGAACGATGTGCCTCAACTTGCCGGTGACTTCTCAGTATCTACCAGAATTTCAAGCCACTAGCCAAGATCAGTGATCCATTGCCTTCTTTCCTATTTACAGCTACTTTTTAATAATAAAAATATGCCCATGTACACACCACTGTCATCAATTTATCGGATGTCACAACTGCGCTAAACAATAATTTGTTATTACTGCTTTAAAATATACAGTGAAATACTCATTGAAGTAAAAGGAAATCCAATCGTGAGTTGCGAGTTAATTTAAAAAGACATCCGATACAGTTCTGCATTTTTACGATTAGTTGTAAAGGGCTTTAGATGTGTTCGCCGCACAGTTTTGCAAAACAAATTTTTACCCAGTGAGCTACGTTCCCGTTTTAAAATTAACGTTCACGTGCGTTTGGTCTTTATCTTACAGCCACTGAAAAAAAAAAA